TAGTAATTTTCAAGATTTCTACTACCTTTTTTAGTATTGAGACTATTTATAGCTTCGATGCGAAGCTAAGAAGGTATTAATTATACCAAGATGTGTTATTTATTATTATTTTTTTTTGTGTGTCCGTTACTACTTTTTATCAGTTCTCACTGGACCGATTTTTGTCAATGGTATTTCAAAAGATCACAAAACGTATCAAGTTGAAGACATTATCCTCAAAAATTGAAAATTTTGCTCTCATTCCCTGTAAATAGTGAAAATCATCCAAAAAATTACGATTTTTAGAATCGGTAAATTTCAACATTTTTTTTCTCTAAATTACCATAACTTAATGAAAAATTATCAAATTAAAATAATTATTTTTTATATTAAAACCTTAGATTTTTCACTTTCATTTGATATACATTTTTTGAAAATCTGACCCTCTACCTGTCCACAGGGGGGATTAAAATAGCAACATCTGCACATAAATTTAACTTTTTCAACTTCAGTTTTGAAAATGTTCCGTAAATACTCCAAGCTTCAAACATATGTTAAAATATAGCTAATTTTATGTACTATAAGTTCAAAAAAAAAAAATTTGTCCGGACTACTTATGTTCTACGTGTAAATGGTTGCCGTAGTTAAAAAACATGCTATTTTTGTGTTAAAATTTTTGGTATTGTATTTTAATTTATTTTAAAATACCTTATAAGGGGTACTCTGATTTTCATGAATATTATATAAATCTAATTAACATAGAATATAATGTGAAACTTATTTCAATTTTTTTTTCTTTTAAGTCGAAAAAATGAGTTTTAACATTTGAATCAGCTTAAATTGACAGTTTTATCAACAAACGAATGCGACGAACGTTTGTCGATTCAATAAAAATCATTGGCCCTGACAATGATAATTTTGCAGTTTTTCCATAATTCTTTTTGAGTTAGAATTTTGTTTTTCAATAAACCACTAATTTCTTAAAATTAATCACTATCTACAGATTTGCATCGAATAATTTCTTATGATAGTGATTTCAATCACTTTCAGATATTATCTATACTAGTCCTAACTATGCCGCGACCCCACTGTGTTAACGTTTTTTTATTATTATGCATTTCAACTTAGTGCGTTAGTACATAAATTAGTAAATACATATTTGCGATACGAAGCTGAGTAGGTATTAATTTTATCATAATGAATTTTTATGTCTATATATGAAAATTCTTAGCCCCTACTGTACCAATATTTTTGATCAATATGTCAAAAGCATGGTTTTAATTTAGTTAATCGTATCATCATCAAACATTTCTTTTAATTTTTGGTGATGATGAGACTCCTTAATTTTAAATATTTAGAAAAATATTTTAAATTTGGACAACCATCAAAAATTACAAATTCGGAAAATTTGTAAATGTCTATAACTTTCTAATAAATGATCCGTTCTATTTAAATTTAAATTAAGGACAAAATTCTTTTGGTATGTATTTTTATTGATATTTATTTAAAAATCTCAATTGCAATCAAAGCTAAAACATTCCGATAATTTGACTTCTATGAGTAATTTGCTTTTAAAAACAAAATTCTTTCAATTTTTTATTTTTTTTTTATGCTATTCTTTGGGTACAATAATATCGAAAAATTTTATGATATTTATGTTAATCACTATCAGCTATCAATCTATACTGATATTTACTATTAAAATTCCCACTATATCTCGTTCCCTATGTGGTTTTTTTAAAGATTTATTCTAATATATATATTTTTTATTTATTTATTATCAAAATATTATATTTTAAAGTCTAACAATTATTTAAAAAAAAAAATACAACGTAAAATATTTGGATCGAATTAAATAAAGGTTTGTCATAATAATGTCAAAATACATCAAGTTAACGTAATAATTTATTATTTTACAGTTAGTAGTGTGGTAGATATAGTTAAATAATTTAAATAACATCATAATTATATTCTTTTTGTATTAAAATTAGATAAATACAATATAACTTGTATAAGTAACTATAATTGAATGTTATCTTGTTTTCTTATGAAGAATCTAACTTTATAATTGGCACTAACATATTTTTATAGTGGTAAGGTGGTCAAGTTTTTTTTAGGAAGTGTTTAAATTTATTTCTACCTTAAAAATATGCTTAATTACTTCTATTAGCTTTCTCTTTTGACGCATATGAATTGATAAAATAAATTATGAGCTAAATGCAATAGTGACCTAACACATAAAAATGGATATATTGTAAAACATACATTATCTTATTAAGTACTAAAACTATTTTAATGTAATACTGGCCTATTTAATTTTTTTAATTTCATACTAGTAATAGCAATAAATCTATTATTTCGTTTATACATTTCTTGTTGCGTCATGATGTATGAAGTACTTAAAGAAACAATACACATTAAAAAAAATTTTGAGATATTATTTATTAAATAATTGATAGCACAGTGAGGTCGCGGTACAGTATGATCGTGGCATAGTTAGGACTAGTATAGATAATATCTGAAAGTGATTGAAATCACTGTCATAAGAAATTATTCGATGCAAATCTGTAGATAGTGATTAATTTTAAGAAATTAGTGGTTTATTGAAAAACAAAATTCTAACTCAAAAAGAATTATGGAAAAACTGCAAAATTATCATTGTCAGGGCCAATGATTTTTATTGAATCGACAAACGTTCGTCGCATTCGTTTGTTGATAAAACTGTCAATTTAAGCTGATTCAAATGTTAACGCTCATTTTTTCGATTTGTTCATTTTTTAATAAGTTATGGTAATTTTTAGAAAAAAAATGTTGAAATTTACCGATTCTAAAAATCGTAATTTTTTGGATGATTAGAAAACGAGAGCAAAATTTTCAATTTTTGAGGATGTCTTCAACTAGATACGATTTGTGATCCTTTGACGTATTATTAAAAGAAATATATTCGGTGAAAGCTGAGAAAAAGTGGTAATAGACATAAAAAAAAAACACCCATAGCAAAATTTATACCTTCTCACGTTTAAATCGAAGCTAAAATAAGCTATTTCATGATCATTTACTGTATTGTGGCATTTTTATTGCACTTATCGCCTCAAATTTCTGAAAAGGAATTATTAAAATGTTCATATTGATAATATTAAAAATTATTTTATGTAATAAAAGTTATATTAAAATATTCATGAACCTTATAAGTGTTTAAAAATAATTAATGTATATTAAATATACATTAATACACTTTGAAATATCATTCAACAAAGTTGCTACTCTTGTGGTAATTTTTTTTTTGAATTAATGAATACAAAATTAAATAATTATAATCGTAAAAATATATACTACGTTATAATTTTTAACACTTATTCAACACAAATTTAAATTATTTCCCACGGATAATTTCTATAATTAAGTGGAAATGGTCGTCACTAGTATTAAATAACACTCATTTAAATCGTTTTTGTTTAAATAGGCATGTTAAAACATGAAAAAGTTCGTGACGTAAAATATGATTTAAAATTTTTACATGTAAGATGTCATATGTGTAATTTTTTATACTATTGTTATTCATTCTCATTCGGAATAGATAACTCATTGAACTTTTATTTTAAACAGTACGAAATCAATTTCAAGGTTTTAAATGTTAATTAATAGTTAAATAATATTTTAAAAATTATAGACCACTTGTTATATATTTGTTTGTATGACAAATTGGACAAAATTGTGTCATAATACTAAACGATCATTGAAACATTAAACTATATTTATGAAGACTAAAAACCGTAAATAATTTATAGAAATAAAAAAGTCACGATTTTTTACTAATATATTTTCAACTTTTATGCATGATCATAATCTTTATGTTAGTAAATTTTCTTATTATACAATTTATTTAATTATTTTAAAGCACATAATATGAATAATAAGTAAGTCTAAGCTAATATCATCTTTTCTGATGTCCGATAACATGATATTTACTGCCGATAATAATGAGATTTAATTATGTAAAACTTATAAAAATAGGTCTCTTTTCTCGGCACTATAACCAAACAAAACTTTTAAAATACATCATTAGACGTGTTTTTAGTACTTACAATACAATAAGCACGTCCATGTTTCCAAATGATTTACAACATTTACAACGGATCGATAATTAAAGAAACTCTTAATAATTCATTTGAAAATGATTGTATAAAAACTTTTTGTTGCAAATATGTTGATAATGTTTAATTTTAGGAAGAATTATTGGATTATTCTAAAAGTAATATCAACTCCTATTTCCTCAATAATTGAGGAAATAATTATTATATCCTGATTACAATTTCTATAATTTACTGTTTACATATTAATTATTTAGTATTGTAATTTTTAAATAGTAATTATAATAATAATAATGCAGATGCATATTTTGTGAACTTAATAGAAATTTTTTCAATTTTTAAGGGCAATGTTTTCAACTAGATTGATTAACATACAATAATATTTCTTATCGTAGAATTTATATAATTCATATACATATATGTATACTAACCATGAGAGAAATTGAAACCACTTTCCTTATTTACTGAACACTATATATTAATGTATGATAATTTTGTCTCAACCACTGAAACAATCTAATGTAACTAAACAAAAAAGACGTATATTGAGTTATGCTAATCAAAATGATCATATTTTTGGAGAATTTCTATTTTTTTTTATTACTACAAAAGTAATAAAGTTTTTTTTAAAGTATTAGGTTTATTTTTATAAAATACGTATAAACCATATTCTAAATAACACCGGGATCCTAACTGGATGCAACCAATTTGCCTAGCTCGACAGATGCGCCAAAAAATATTAATTATTTGAATACGATAATATCATTTTTTAACTCATATGTCTTTCATTACTAAGACGGCGGCAGTATTATACTCTTTGCCAAACTCTAAGTCGAACAAAACTATAACAGATGAAAAGCTATTGTATTATAATTAATAACAAGTATTAAAAAATAAAATGTGAGTGAGTAATTCTATTTTTTGTTATAGTCACATATCCGGTATTACTCTCCTAGGAGTACCTTCTGAAATCTACGTATACGGTACCCAGTATTTGATTGTAGCTATTATTAACATATTTATAATACTCATAGTTATCTATGTGTTCTTACCAGTATTCTACGATTTGCAACTTACCTCAGTTTACGAAGTAAGTTGACTTTTACGTTAATTATTTGTTATTTAAACTAAAATATTACAAAATATTTATTTGATATTGCAGTATTTTGAGCTACGTTTTAATAGAAAAATTCGAGGTTTGGCATCACTTATGTTTACTATTTCATTGATATTGTACATACCAGTTGTAATCTATATCCCAGCATTAGCATTTAACCAAGGTATTGACAATAGTTTTCAATTTAAATCACTATTATGTACAGTTGTAAATAGAGTGTTCTAAGAATTTTTCTTAAAGTAATAGTGAAAAAGAAAATTCATATGAAATTTAACAAAAAATACATCAGATAGAAATAATCTATATGCACTTAATCATATCTTTTTTTATATGCGTATCACTTAATTCATAATTAATTTAAGTTTAAGTTAAATATAGAAAAAATATATCTAGAAAATATATTGTAATTGTTTCATTTTGTAGTAAGCAAACTAAATGTCCATTCTATCACGCCAATTTTATGTCTTATTTGCATATTTTATACAACTGTAGTAAGTACTTTGTACAACTATATTTTATTTTTACTTCATTATTTAAAATTTTAAGCAAGTTAATTAATTGCTGCATTAATTAATTTTTTAGGGAGGACTTAAAGCTGTAGTGTGGACTGATGCTGTACAAAGTTTATTCACAACAATATCAATAGTGGCAGTAATTATTTTAGGTATTATACAAGTGGGTGGAGTGGGTAACGTAATTAAAGCCAATGCTGAAGGAAATCGGTTGGAGTGGTTTAAGTAAGTATATATTAAGATTGTGTTTAACATTTTAATGCATCACGAATATACATTTTCACAAGGTAAAATTTCTAGTATGGATCCGGATCCATTATTAAGAAATTCATTTTGGACTGTAAGTATTGGCACAACTTTTAGTTGGGTTCACGGTCTCGGAATGCATCCCGGAGCAGTTCAAAGATTCGTAGCGTTGCCAACATATAATAAAGCTAGAAAAGCTTTGATTTATTTTATTCTTGGCATAGGAATAGTAAAAATTCTTACAGGTGCTATAGGTATGCTGGTTTATACAAAGTTCAAAGATTGTGATCCTGTTATGGCCGGAGTAAGTATTTTTAATTGAAAAATATACATATAAATTTTAATGAAATTAGTTTTTTAGTACATCGAAAATGATAAAAATTTATTACCTCTTTTTGTTACAAACGTGGCTTCTAATTATCCTGGCCTCACTGGTCTTTTTATTTCTGGAATCGTGAGTACAGCATTGAGGTAAGCCTTGTGAATTTTTATTTTACAATATTGCTAAGATTAATATACGTTTTTATAGTACTATGTCTGCACAACTCAATACTGTATCTGGAACTATATATGAAGACTTTATTGTTAAATTGTTAGGAGTGAAAGTTAGTGATTTAATGGCTAGTATTATCATGAAAGCCACCGTAGTTATAGTTGGAATAATTTGTGTTTCCTTAGTTTTAGTAGTAGAAAAACTCGGAAGCATTTTACAGGTAATTTTATTATTTTAATTTTAAAATGAAAGTAAAATATAACTAAAACCATTTTATACATTACATACAACATCATAATAAACAGTTAATTTGGGGCTTGGTAACTTAGAAATAATTATAGATTAAGACGAAACAATTATTTAAATCACCATAATAAATTAATCCTATTACACATTTCCGTGTTCACCTTAGCCTTATGCTTTCTAATTTATTATTTTAAATTAAATCTTAAAGTTTCTAAGTTAATGACTAAATTTCTATAAATGAACTTGTATACGTATTATGTATAAGTCTCTCTGTAGATAGGGCATAAAAATAGTTCCACGGCCCCTCTACCAGTCGTAAGAGTCGACTAATAAGGTTGCGTCAGATCGACAGGCGGCGTAAAATTTTTGTCAAAATGTATGAGGAGTCCTGAAAAAACTTAGGCAGATTGATCAATCTCGGATGTACGCAGGGACAACAAGTGAGAGGAAATAAAATAGTTAAAAACGGAAAAAGCCTAAGGAATAAAGTGTTTGATACCAGCCGGACAACATGTGTAGTAGCTGTTTCATCAGTCATGTATACAGGTCTACCCAACGCTTGTAGTGCCAACGGTGTAGGGACATCACCACTAAATTCTAGGCTGGACTTGTATGTAAGGGAGAAAAATAGATACAATGAAAAAATAGGTACTTGGAATGTTGGAAAATTAGTAGAAGTATTGAAGAGGAGAAAAGTGAACATTTGTTGTTTGCAGGAAACTAAGTGGACGGGAGAGAAAGCAAGGGAAATAGATGAGGGTTATAAAATAATATACTCAGGTAAGTCTAATACAAAGAATGGTGTAGGGATAATAATGAATGAGGATATGAAATGTAAAGTAGTAGAAGTAGTTATGAAAAGTGACAGGATTATAGTCGTAAAATTAATCTTTGAGGGAAAAGTGTTGAATGTAATAAGTGCCTATGCACCACAAATGTAATGTGATGAAATAGAAAAGGAAGTGTTTTGGAGAGAGATGAATGAGATGATCCAAGGAGTACAGGGCAATAAGAACGTGGTGATAGGTGAAGGATTGTTTTCACCATTTTTTCCATTCTATTTTTTCTACTACAAGATTTTTCTACTAATTTTTTTATCCATGATTATTTTTTGTTTCAATGGTTGTTATAGTAATTTGAGATCAATTGTTAATATTTTTTTTCGATATTTAAATTCGATAAGAACCTCAAATTGTGTAGTTGCTAAATTTTTTGTAATTAGTAATTGGAAAATTCGAAGTTAATCAAAATATTTAGTAAAAATGGTCGTGGAACTAATATATGAAGTTACGAAGCATCCCTTTCTACACGAAGATGAGTTTTTGTATACGAGATCGACTGAAAAGAATGGTAGAGTTTTTTGGTAGTGTCGATCACGTGTTGTCACCCGTTTATGTGCAACTCGCGAACAGGTTCGTTATAAAGATTTGGAATTTATTTATATTCGTTTAAATTAAAAATGAAATAATAAGTAGACTATAGAAGTCTTAGAGCGTGAAAAAAAAATTTTTTTTGGAAAAAATTAATGGAATAGAACGTTAATAAAAAAAAAGTATTGGAAAAATTATACAGTGGAGAAAAAGGCCAGTGGAAAATTATAATTATAATTATTGTATATCAAAATAAAATTTTAAACGAAATGTTTGATTGAATAACATTTACCCCGAAAATATGACGATAAAATCATTCAATTTTTTGGATTGCTCATTAATGAGGAGGCTATATAATTATACATTATAAACACATTGATATAAATTACACTACCCCGTAAAAAAACTAAAGTAAAAGCAATGATGCAATAAAACTATTTATGATCTATATGCAGAAATCATCAACTACGTCTTTAAAAATTTTGTTGATTTTTAACTACTAATAAACTCAGCAACATAAAAATATCATGAAGAATTTTTCTTGTTTGAATATGTTCTTGAAATATATATATATATATAAGTGCCCTAAATCTTCTGAATTTCCCCCAAAAAAAATTATACAATTAATATTAAATAATATTTTTTGAAATTATAAGTAGTGAGGTTAATATAGTTGAGTCTTCTTAGTATATATTCGAATTGTTTTTAAATACTATAGATTATTTGAAATGTTGAATTATAATGATTTTAACCATTATTATATTTTAAATCAGTTGTGATAAGTAATACCTATTTACACTATACCAATATGTGGAGCTCTTAGTTTTAGTTTTAGTTATTATCGAGGTGGACATAATGCCCATGCACTCAGACCTGTTGGTCCATTGTGCGCACCTCATACCGAATTGTCTTGATTTGGTTTACCCACCTAAGTGTTATCACCAAAGTGTTAATACATTATCAACCATAAAGTCACCTCTAAATATGACCAAAGAGTCCTGTCTTTCTGGCGAAATTAAGTATCTTTCTGGGTTTTAGGTTTTTAATATCTTATTTTTCAGGAAAAGGTTTATTCAAGTAGTTTGATCTTAGTGTGGACAAGGCTTCACATTCGCACATGATGTGAAATGAGTCTTCCTCTTCTAATCCACACTTCCTGCAGAATTGTGATTCCGATACCCCTATTGCGTTATGATGTTTAAGCAGGTGACCATGTCCTGTCAGTAGACCAGTCAGAGTGCTTATTTGGTATCTAGTCATGCTATTAAAATCACCCAACAGTAGACCAGGGGTCTTGATAAACATTTTAGATTGTCTAGGTACTACCAAGTACTTCTAGATTTTCCTGTGTTGTTCTCTGCACCAATTCTTGGGTAACGCTTTGAGCGATTGCTCAGTGAGTCCTACTACTGGTTCTGGTCCAACATAGGTGTTCTCTGCTCCTTTCCTAGCTAGAAAGTCAGCATTCTCATTTCCAGTGACACCGTTGTGTCCCGGTACCCACGCTAGTGTAATTTTGTTGAACCTCGATCGTGGTTCTAAAGTTTACCTGCATTCAAGGACCAGCTTTGAATTCACCTGATCGTTACAGAATGCCTTCAAAGCCGCTTGACTATTACTTAAGATAGTTATCTTCCTATTTTTGTATACCAACAGGTTCTGAGCCCCTAACAGTATCGCCATCACCTCTGCTTTGAAAATAGAGGGTGTTGTGCCCAATGACATATTGACATTTATTCGTGGCTTTAAACCCTATATTCCAGCACCAACCTTTCCTGATTTTTTGGATCCATCTGTATATATCACAAATCCTCCTTTTTCAGTTAGATGGTTAATATTCCACCGTACTTAGTATACCATATCTGTATAGTGTTTAGTCTCTGTTGTGCTAAGTCTATAATAGTTCTGGGAATTTACCCACCGCTGCTATAACTAAGTCATTCGCATAGGAATGTGTATTACAATATTTGATTAACTCATTTTGAGCTGTCCCAAAATGGAGCGTTCCTTAAGCATGGATTCTATCCACTTAATAATAAGTGGTTCTATTCCATGCTGTTATGCAGATTCACACATAGCATCTAAGGGAGTATTGTCAAAAGCCCCTTCGATGTCTAGGAATATACCTACTGCATACATTATATTCTCCACAGCTTTCTCTATCTTAGTGGTTAAGCAGTGTAGAGCTGTATAATTAGATTTCCCCGATTGATATGCATGTTGGTTTCATGTAAAGGGTTCTCCTTAAGAGGCCCCTCCTTGATGTACCTATCAATAAGTTTCTCCATAGTCTTAAAAAGAAATGAAGTAAGACTTATTGGCCTGTAGGATTTTTCTTCATAATAGTTAGTCCGGTTAGGTTTGGGTATAAACACTACCCTGATCTTTCGCCAGCTTTCTGGTTGATAACCATAGGCAAGGCATGCCCTAAAATTTTGCAAAGATGGGGGACCATTATCTCTAACCCTTCTTGCAGAAATGCAGGGAAAATTTCGTCACAGCCTGCAGCTTTAAAACTGCCAAAGGCTTTTATTACCCATCTTATTCCACTTGGGGTTATCACTCTCCTGGTTTGTCTCCAATCAACACAGGTCACACGTTTGTCCTGTGCATCATATTCCTGTTCTCTGTTGTTAATTGAAGAGTCAGGAAAATGTGTGTTCATCAAATGTGATAATGTTTCATTATCATTATTGGTGAACATTCCGTCTGGCAGTAGTATTGCCACGACAGTTTTGTTTGATCCATTCCTTAGTGATCGCAGAAGTCTAGTTGCTAAAGGGAGTTGTTGTATATCCCCACAGAATTTCTTCCAGCTTTCTCTTTTAGATTTTTTCAATGCAGATTTGTAGTTCCTTTGGGCGTTCTTATAGGATTTCCAGTGTTGTTCCAAACTTGATTTCATTGCTTTATTTAAGAGCTTACGTGAACTCTTTCTTAATTTAGACAGGTTAGTATTCCACCAAGCTACACCCTGCCCTGTACCTTTTCTTTCTATTAAAGGACAGTTTTCTTTGTAAGCCGAGACAATGGAGTCCTGTAGTATATTTACAGCCTTTTCAGTACTCTGTCTCGACCCTAATCTAAACTGTAGGTTATTCAGGTCACGAGAGAGATCTGCCCTGTAGTTGTCCCAATTTGTTCTTTTCGGGTTCCTATAGTACTCCGTCTCAACTTTGTTAATTTTCAAAGTGGATCGTAAGTGCCTATGATCAGAAAAAGAAGGTTCGGAGGATACTTTCCACCCTTTTATCTTTTGAAGTAACCCTTTTGAGCAAACTGTCAGATCAATGACTTCCTGCCTGTTCCTGATAACAAAAGTAGGTTCACTACCTCTATTCAGTATACTAAGGTCTGTAGTCAGCAATAGATCCATTATAACCTCTCCTCTTTGGTTGATGTTGCTGCTCCCCCAAATAGTGTGGTGTGCATTAGCATCCATACATAGGATTAGTTCTAATTTTTCGTTTTTGTAATAATTAAAGAGCATAGTTAGGTCCCTACCTGGGTCTGTGACTTCATATGGTAGGTATCTTGAAGCTACTATAATATTTTTACCATTATTTAGTGTTACTTTAATAATAGTCAAGTCTGCACTTGATAGATTAAGCATCAAGCTGGTTTTAACTTTATTATTAACCATTAATGCAAGTTCTTGGTTTATCTGCTTGTTTATGAAACAGTTTAAAATTCCTTAGATTTAGCCCCTCAATCTGATCACCATTTATCCATGATTCCTGAATAAATGCTATTTATAAGGGTATTGTATGCCTCTCAGTTAGGGTCCTTAGTAATACACTACTGGCCCCTTTACTGTGATGTAGGTTTATTTGCATGAATTGAATTCTATTGTCAGCCATTCAGAATAACTGATGTTTACGCTTGAGAAAGCACACTGTACTGGGTGTGATACAGGTATCTGAAAAAGTCCCTGTGTCACACAGCCCTCCCTGTGTTTGGTGTCTCGCCACCGTCCCCAGGTGGCGACTGTACCTTAGGTTCGCTCTCCACATTTCTTTTTGGATCCGTGGAGAGGTTCCCCTTAGCTGTGGCCATTATTGAGGGTATTCCTGGGTCCCTTTCCCTTACGTAACACACTTCCTCCCTTCCCTTTCGAGGCAGAAGTGAACTCTTTTGGACTCTTTTGGCAGTTTACAATTTTGTTCCGACAGGTTGTCCGTAGGATCCCTGATCGTCTCAAGTTCGTTTTTTTGTGGTTTTTCTATGTTTTTGTCGATATAGTTCCCACGAGTAGTCAAAAAATAAAGGTCCATCACAGCAGAGCTCGACATTGTGATTAGGCTGTATAGTCTATGATGCGCCAGGTGCCATAAAGGATCCCTATGGTCACTTTACCTTTCGGCTAACTACCCTGTGACAAGATAGCAACCCTTTCACTTGGTATGGCTGGGTTAGGGAGCCTATTCGCTATTAGCAAGCAGGTATGCCCAAGCCTACCGGTCCCAACTAACCAAAGTCATACCGGCTAAGAGCAGTGGTACGTGTTGCCATCCCCACTGAAATAACTGGGGTCCGCGGGGTTGTAAGGCCCGTAATCCTTGCGGATTTCCCTGCAGGGATGTGAAGCCCTTAATGTACTGGATTTTTTCCTTTTCACTTAAGAGAATTTTGTGCATTTTATGAGAATTTAGAGTCTCATATTTTATATTAAACATAATTTCTACACTTTTTTCAGATATCAGTTACCTTAGGAGGTGTTACACAAGGATGTCTATTGGCAGCTTTTGTTTTGGGAATGTGCTTTCCGTGTGCAAACTCCAGAGTTAGTAAAAATAGTAATAATAATTATCTATAATCCTCAAAATATTATTTTAATTATATTTTTAGTCATAAAATCATCTAAGATTGTTTATTAACTTCGATGAGAAGCTGAGAAGGTATTGGTTTTACTATGATGTGTTTTTTTTAACACGCTTATATTAGTTTCACTTGTATGTTGTTTGTTGTGAGTTTTTTTATTGTGAGTTGTGTGATGTTTGTAACTTTCCACGCGGCACGTGTTATTATTCTCGCGTCTCCGGTCGTCAATGGCCTTGAGACTAGACGGTCGTAACGCATTAACCCCACCCCGCTCACCACTCATAGACAACAATATTTTCCAACCCGTAGACGCGCGCGTGTCATAAATTATACATACATATATATATATATATATATATAAATTTTTATTGTGATTGACACGGCCCCGCGTCGTTTTACGCCGCGTTGCAAAGTCCAGCAAGTGCCGCACGGCCGACGACGACCTGCCGTCAATGATACCGTAGTCTTCTTCTCGTTGTCAAAGTGACAACGTCAACAAAACGATCCGCACTCGCGCACTGTTATCATCTACGCTGCTAACCTTTTGACGCCTGAGGATCACGCCGGACATCGCGTCGTCGACGCCAGCGACAGTGCCGCGATATTATGCGAAGATCATATATTCCTACCACCACCGATAATATTAATATATAAATACATATATATACAGGGTGATTTTTTTATCATAACCCACTCAATTACTCGCAGAATAATAATAATTTAAACCTTTTTTTGTTTTATTATCTTTAGTTACACATTATTCTTGAATTTTTAACTATGTAATACTTTTTAAGTTCATCCCTTATGCCTTGGAAGGGGGTCAACTTTGTTTTTTTAAATGGTAACACATATTTTTAATTTAATAAAATGTTTGAGTTTTTAATTTAATAGTAAATGGCATTTGAATTTTTAATATAACTTTATTAGCTTATTAGATATAAACATTTAAAGTTTCAAAATTTTGAGTTAATATACATGTATAATACACATGGGATTGTAAATACAGNTATTATATAATAGAACAAGGAAAAAAACGCTTTTCTGGGAAAATTACTTAGCGTGCTCGGATTTTCAAAAATTTTTTTTTCAACGAAAGTACACGGTCACCAGACTCCAGGAAAATTTTGGCGAAGGTCGGAAAATTTTTGCCGCTCGCCCGCGAGCGTTTTAAAATTTCGACCGTTTTCGAGAAAAACGCTCGCTGACGCCAGCGTTTTACGACTTAAGGTTTGAAATTTTCATCAGACCCGCCCAATGACATTCCTGAGATATGATAAAAAAATCAATTCAATCCGTTCATTTTTCACCGTTTTACGAGCTTTTTTTTTTTCATGCGCTCGAGACGCCAGGGCGCGCCGCCCGAAATTCTTGCGACACTTTACGACATGAAAACGATTTTTTTTACGATTTGCAATCATACCACGGCGTTCTGTACGTGCCAAGGAAGCGCCAAAAATCGGAAAATCCCAGATCCGACAAAAACTTTGGCCGCTACGAGCGTTTGAAATTCATCAAATTTTAACGGAAAATGACGATTTTTCTGTTTGCTAATAATACACATGTACGCGTCCTATTATATCTTATTATATAATAGAACAAGGAAAAAAACGCTTTTCTGGGAAAATTACTTAGCGTGCTCGGATTTTCAAAATTTTTTTTTTCCACGAAAGTACTCGGTCACCAGACTCCGGGAAAATTATTGGCGAAGGTCGGAAAATTTTTGCCGCTCGCCCGCGAGCGTTTTAAAATTTCGACCGTTTTCGAGAAAAACGCTCGCTGACGCTAGCGTTTTACGACTTAAGGTTTGAAATTTTCATCAGACCCGCCCAATGACATTCCTGAGATATGATAAAAAAATCAATTCAATCCGTTCATTTTTCACCGTTTTACGAGCTTTTTTTTTTCCATGCGCTCGAGACGCCAGGGCGCGCCGCCCGAAATTCTTGCCGAAGGCGCGTAAGGCTCGAAGGGCCCCGGGTCTGGGGCGGAGCCCCAGCTAGGCGGAGCCTAGTACATGTATAATACACATGGGATTGTAAATANTTATTAGATATAAACATTTAAAGTTTCAAAATTTTGAGTTAATATACATGTATAATACACATGGGATTGTAAATACAGGTAGCTAATTGGATTTTTATGACATTGCTGTCTCAGTCACGGATTGTTTATTATCAATTATGATTATCAATAGATATACTTTCTGTATTGTCAGTTAGTGTATTTATAAACTCATAACAATGTGCCTTACTATCATTGATAATAACAATGCTGTGTACCTGCTAATATCGATGTCATAAAAAATCAATTAGCTACCTGTATTTGTAATCCCTTGTGTATTATACCTATATATTAACTCAAAAATTTGAAACTTTAAATGATTATATCTAATAAACGAATTAAGTTATATTAAAAATTCAAATGCCATTTACTATTAAATTAAAAACTCAAACATTTTATTAAATTAAAAATATGTGTTACCATTTAAAAAAACAAAGTTGACTCCCTTCCAAGGCATAAGGGCTGAACTTAAAAAGTATTACATAGTTAAAAATTCAAGAATAATGTGTAACTAAAGATCATAAAAAAAAAAAATGTTTAAATTATTATTAGTCTGCAAGTAATTGAGTGGGTTATGATAAAAAAATCACCCTGTATATATTAATATTTATATGTACGTATATGTTAATATTCATTTATATATTCCTACAGCCGACGCCTCTGCCGCCGTATATGCCTCGTGTATAATGTTCTCCCCGCCATGCCCGGCCACAAAACACAGCTATACCTCATGCGTGATATGTTTACGTACTTAAGTCGCTTTACATGTATATATATTCTAATTACTATTAAAACTTATATATTAATACACTTTATTCTCATTAAGAGATATATAGGGTATCTATTCCGATTACAAAGGATGATCCCCGTATTGTCATTTTTCGTCACTACCTCCATATTGCGCGCCTGCTGCTTTCTTTGGATGTGGTAGCCGTTTCTCAGATTCCCTCCTCGGAATCGAACCCTGATTTCCTGTTACCCGTTACAACCATGATATTGATATTAACTACTGTCATTACTTTTTCAAATATGACCAAATCAATATAATTTTTTTATTATAGATGCATAATGTCTTTACCTATTATTTGATATATTTTTTTTTTAAATTATACATATATAATTTATATATAAATTTGACCCTTCACCTGCCCATAGGGGGGATTTAAAATGACAACTTTTTCACAAAATATTAACTTTTTCAACTTATTTTTTGAAAATGTTCCGGAAATACTAACACTTTTTTATATATCTTAAATTAAAGCTTATGTAATGTAATCTATTATGAAAAAAAAAATGCAAACTTTATTTTGACTTCATGGTGAAAATGACTACCATATTTAAAAATATTCTATATTTGTGTTAAACTTCTCGTTTTTGTATTTTTTTATTTTAAAATACCGTACAAAAAGTATTATTTCTCATTAGATTTTTATCTCATTTAGATTCAATATCTTCAATGAATATTAAGGACTCCATTACTATAGTTTCCCCTCGTTTGATGAAATTTCTTATTCATATTAAAACTATTGTACTAAAATTCTCGAATTTATGTTTTATATTTTTAACTTTTTAAACATTTTTATACTGTATTATTTCAAAGCAACCACTGTACATTACACGAATTGCCAGCTAAATATGACAATTTAAACTAGTTTAAAAATGTAAAACAGCTTTGTTGAACTTCGAGGATGCAAATAATTAATATAAGTATAAATTTATACTTAATGCAAATAAGATTCATTAAATTTTTATAAAAATTTGTGATCTCATTATAATAGAAACCCTTGTAACATATTTTAAAATAAACAAAACAAAAATAAAATTAACACAAAAATAATGTTTTTTAACTAAGGCAGCCATTTGAAAACAAAAAAAAGGTCTTTGGAACAATTTTTAGCTTCGATGCGAAGCTGAGAAGGTATTAATTTTGCTATGATGATGATGTTTTTTTTTTTTATTTTTTTTTGTGCCTGTATACGCTTAATCTCAGCTCTCACCGAACCGATTTTGATGAAAAATATGTCAAAAGATCACAAATCGTATCTAGTTGAAGACATTACTCTCAAAAATTGAAAAAAAAATCCCTCATTCCCCGTAAACGGGGGAAATCCCCCAAAAAAATACAAATTTAAAAATCGCTAATTTTCGATATTTTTTCATTTTTTTTTACTTAAAATTGCCCTAACTTTTTTAAAAATGACCCAATCAATATAATTTTTTTTTTATAGATACCTTAGATATTTACCTATCATTTTATATATATTTTTTATAAATTTGACCCTTTCCCTGCCCATAGAAGGGGATTCAAAATGACAACTTTTTGACAAAAAATTAACTTTTTCAACATAATTTTTGAAAATGTTCCAAAAATACTGACACTTTTATATATATCTTAAATTAAAGCTAATGTAATATACTTTAATCTGAAAAAAAAAATTTGACCTCTGGACTTGTCTTCATGGTGAAAATGACTACCGTATGCAAAAATATGCTATTTTTTTGAAAAAATTCTTGATATTATATTTTACATTTTTTAACATTAGGATGCTATAACTTTTTAAACAATGCATGAATCAATTCTGTTTTTTAATAATAAATACTTTATATATATCTCTTTCATTCGACATACTTTTTTTTTAAATCGGACCTTTTCCCTTTATACAGCGGGGGTGCAATCCTTTTAAAATGCGTATAGAAAGTAGAACTCTTTCAACATAACTTTTGAAAATGTTCCGGAAATACTGACACTTTTATATATATCTTAAATTAAAGCTTATGTAATATACTTTAATTTGAAAAAAAAAAATTTGACCTCTGGACTTGTCTTCGTGGTGAAAACGGACATCAAAGTTAAAGAAAAACGTACGATTTCCGTGAAAAAAATCTCGATTTTATATGTTATATTATTTAATTTATATTTTATATAACTTTTGGAAAAATGTATGGATCTATATTATTATTTTTTTATAATAAATATTTATATACCCCTTTCATCTGGCACGCTTTTTTTGTAAATCGGATCATACCCCTTTAACAAGGGGGGTCAAAACTTTAAACATGCGTATTGTTACTAAGATATTTTCAATTTAATTTTTGAAAGTGTTCCGGAAATACTGACACTTTTATATATATCTTAAATTAAAGCTTATGTAATATACTTTAATGTGAAAAAAAAAAATTTGACCTCTGGATTTGTCTTCATGGTAAAAATGACTACCGTATTCAAAAATTTGCTATTTTTGTGTTAAAATTCTGGGTTTTGTATTTCATTTTATTTTAAAATACCTGACAAGGGGACTACAGATTTTCATAAATATTATATAAATAAAAAATTAATATAGCATAGAAAGTTAAACTTATTTAAATTTGTTTGCTTCTTTTAAGTCGATAAAAATAACTTTGAAATTTGATTTAGCTTAAATAACTAATTTTTTCATCCGGCGGTAACAACATACGGTTGTCGAGTTGGTAACACTGATGTTTTACACGCTTGGGGTACGAGGTTCCAACCAGCGTATGGCAATGAATTTTTTGCATTTTTTCTTAATTCTTTTTAAGTTAGAATAAATTTTCAATTGCTTTGATTTTTAACACGCTTATATTAGTTTCACCTGTATGTATGTATGTATGTATGTTTGTAACTCTCCAAACGCCATGCGTTATCGCATATTCTGTCGTCTAGACTAGACTGTTATACGCATTCACCCCTCCCCACGCCACGCTCACCACACGATGGTACACTATTCCTATAAAAATTTATTTTTAGTTATCGTACCCGTACACGCATGCTTGTCATCAATATTATGTATATATAAACAAATTTTTATTTTGACTGACCAATATCATCCGCGTACCATACGGCTTACGTATATATTCCTACCGCCGTTTATACCTCAGGTATAACGTTAGTCCGACCCGCAAGCCCACAAAACACGGCTATACCTAGTGCATGATACGTTTACGTACTTAAGTCGCATTATTTGTCGCATATAACTATTAAAATTTATATATTATCTTATTCTAAGAGATATAAAGTATTCATTCCGATTACGAGGGATAATTTCCGTATCGTCATTTTTTGTCACTACCTCCACGTTCCGGGAGTGAGTAATTTGCGGGCCTGCTGCTTTTCTTGGATGTGGTAGCCGTTTCTCAGACTCCCTCACCGGAATCGAACCCTGTATTCTCGTTACCCGTTACAACCATGATATTGATAGTAACTACTATCATAACATAAAACTAAAAAGTAAAAAATAAAAATAGTTTAAAAAAACTAAAAAACACGCTTTTAAAGCACATTGAACTAAAAAGTTTAAAATAATTTTTAAAATAAGCTTAAAACAATATTGAACGAAAAGTACTAATATTATTGTGATAAAATCGTGGGTGTTTTGTGCCATATTTTTCGTATATTGAGCGCCCGACGCTTTTATCACAATAATACTAGTATTTTTCGTTCAATATTGTTTTAAGCTTATTTTAAAAATTATTTTAAACTTTTTAGTTCAATGTGCTTTAAAAGCGTGTTTTTTAGTTTTTTTAAACTGTATTTATTTTTTACTTTTTAGTTTTATGTTATGATAATAGTTACTATCAATATCATGGTTGTAACGGGNGATCAAGGATCCCATAACTTTAGTCGCCCCTTGTAAGAAGAAATTTCTTATTCGTATTAAAATTATTTTACTATATTTTAAGTTTTAGCTTCGATACAAAACTGAGAAGATATTTTTTTGTGACTATCATTTATTTTCTCTGCTTTAACTTGACCTACTTTTTTCAACGATACGTCAAATGACTACAATTCATATCTAGTTGAAGATATTACCCTCAAAATTTGAAAAAAAAATTCAATTTATCAATTAAACAGTTAGTTATTTCATGTTCTCCATAAAGACAATTAAAATCATTAATTTCTAATGTTTTCGAAGTATTTATTGACGAGTTAAGTTTGATATGATAGGTTTCAATTACAAAATTTAATAATTTTACTTTGTAATTTAATAATTTTTTTACTCTTTTGTGTGTGCTACTATCATTTTTAAAATGATTTATATAGTACTGGACTACAAGGAACTTTTTTTNCAATGTTATAAATGCATATGTGTGTATGTGTGAGTTTATTTATTTATTGTATCATTAAAGTGTAGTGTATATTAATATACAAACGATAGAGTAGGTAATTGATTTGACGCTATATTGTTTAAACCGAACTTAATGCTAAATTGTACATTCCCAAACAACAATCATATTATGTCAATTACCACCGGAATTTTTGGTAATCTTTTTCTTTTTCTTTGCCTTAATCCCAACTACTTGGGGTCAGCCACCCTTATCCTAAGATTCCACTTGACACGATCTCCCACATCTTCTACGCTCACATCAGCTGTCCTCAAATCGCATTCAATAACATCCCTCTATTTCTTTTTTGGTCTTCCTCTATCTCTTCTTCCTTCAACATTCATTTCTATAACTGTTCTTACAGTTTACAATTCTTCACTCCTCATAACATGACTAAACTATCTAAGTCTATTTTCTGTCATCTTATCCACGATTGACGCAACACCTATACTTCCTCTTATATGCTCGTTCCTTATCCTATCTTCTCTAGTCACTCCACTCATCCAACTAAGCATTCTCATCTCTGCTACACTTATTCTCTGCTCTACTTTCTTATCAACCGCCCAACACTATGAACCATACATCATAGCTGGCCTCACAATTTCATACTGAATTTAAAAACTATAATTAGTATTTATTCATATATTATATTTTAAAATCAAAGAACTACTAATCAGGATATAATTAAAGAAATAATAAAAGAAATAAGAAGAATAATCCACCAATTTCTCTAAATGAAACACTATCTACAGATTTGCATCGAAGCGTTTCTTATGATAGTGATTTTAATCACTGTCAGATATCATCTATACTTGTGCCATCTATGCCTTGTGCACACTGTGCTACCGTTTTTTTATTAACTTTGATATCCATTTTCACCATGAAATCAAAATAAAGTTCGACATTTTTTTTTATATAACTTAAGTATATAAGATGCGCATAAATTAAATATATAAATATATATAAATGTCAGTATTTTCGGAACACTTTCAAAAGTTAAGTTGAAAAAGTTATCATTTTGAATCTTCCTCTGTAGGCAGGTAAAGGGTCAAATTAAAAAAAAATTATCAAATGATATGTAAATACTTAATATTTTTATTAAGAAACGCATAATTTTTAGAAAATTTGTCAATGCATCCAATATAATTAATTTAACAATGCATAAAATGTTTAATTATAAATATTATTTATTTTAAGGGAGCATTGTGGGGAATGATTGTTAGTTTTGCTGTAATGTCTTGGATAACTTTAGGGGCTGAAATGGCAATAATGAATGATAAAATTAAGTTTGTTACAAAAGAAGTGTCAGTGACTGGTTGTCCTAGTAATATTACTTTACAGAATACTACAGACTTTACTGGGTAACTGTTAAATTGATTATTAAATATCAAACCAAATATTAAATATAAAATTATTTACTTATTTAAAAAAATTAAATTGATAAAGTATTATTAGCTTAGTTTAATTTATTTTATAAATGTATAATGATGTAACTACTATAAACCACTTGACAATGATTCACTATATGATTGATATCAAAGAGATTATATTATGAACATAGGCATTTTTTTAATTATATCAATTTTAAAACAAAACTTAATATGTTTTTTAAGTTTTTGAAGAAAAGACAATATTTTATTAAAAAAATAAGTTCAATTTAATAATTAAATTACATGCATCATTATATGAATTCTATAGTGTTCTGTTTTTTGAAGGAATCAATTTTTGTCGAGATTTAGTCCACTTAAACAATATCAATACAATTATTTTTATGAGCCATTCTTTAAAAAGTAGTACTAAAACATTTTTGGTGATAAATTTTAATAATTTGTTAATTCTTTTTATACACAGCCTATATCGTTTAAATCACGATGTATATGTTGCTCCTGACGTATGGAAGATCTTTACTCTTTCTTATATGCATTATAGTACTGTTGGTACATTAATTGGCATATCTGTTGGGTTAATAGTTAGTCTTATATTTCCAAAAGAACAACACATAGAACCTAATCTGTTAACTCCTTTTGTACGAAGAATTGTATACCCTAATCACAAAAATCAAATTATGAAACCGAATGGAGTTATAGTCGAAGAGTACAATTTAGTGCCTCAAAATACTCAATTATGATGTTGGTTAATTATAGTTATTGTAACTATGAAGTATGTATACATTTACAAAAGTTCTATTGTTTATAATTTGAAATCAGTAAAAAGTTATAGTTTTTGAAAAAATATGAACTTTGATGTTAATTAGTAAAATGTGTATTATAATGTTTTATCTGTTTTTCAAACAAAAAAATAAGTAAATGCTTATCTAATTCAGTTTTAAAAAATTGTATTTAATTAAATAAGTTGTGTGGTCCATTTTATGGTAATTTCGAATTATACATCAATCATTTTGCCGTGCAAAACACGCAAATTTCATCTATTACACTCGTTATTACCAAATTGAGGTGAATTAAAATACTATAAGATTAAAATAATTTGTATGTCTATATAAATTTTGTTTTATCACAAGTGAGAATAACTTCTGTCCCTATATATTTTTGTTATTCCCACTTAGTTACATTTATATTGTTGATATTGTAATTTTATATTTCATCGTAAGAAATAGCATGTAGTTACCCAAGTAAAACATACCAAAGTTATTTAAATTTATTTGTTATTTATTTATATCTTATAATAATGATAATTTTTAGTTAACTACCGACATAATATGCAAATATGTAGAGATCGTTTTGATTATGTTAATTTTTTTTCCAACTGACATATTATAAAAATAATAGGTTCTCAATACGTTAGTATTTAATTTATGAACGTTACAGTGGTAGTTGAACAGGTAAAGTCTTAAAAAAAAAATTAATATCACAATAATGCAACAATTTTTAGTAAATTAATGTATATTTTTTAAACTAAAAAGTTTCCTTGTTGGAAATTCTATCAATTAGGTAAATTAAATTTTCTCCCACATTCTATCACAATATGATCAATTTTTTATGTTTCTTTATTAATTAACAAAGAATTAATGAAAAACTTAAAATTATAAATGGTGGATGATAAAAAAATACTTTAGAGACGAAATTTTACACTTACAGAAAAATTTGATTAACCGTCACTATCGGAACTATGTTTAACCATCTATTTGGTTAACAGAAATTTAATAGCAAACACACGAAGAACATATTGAATAAAATAAAAATATTTTTTTTATACAATAATTTGCTAACAGCTTAAATATAAAATACATTAATTAAAAATTATATAAAATAATTAGCCATTTTTTTTCCGAAGCTCGAGTTTTTAAAACAGTAATTTTACGTATTTTATGAAGAAGTCAAACCTGTGTTATATTTTCCTTGTCTTATACTTCAAACCAGTCGATGCAGTTTAAAAAAATGACCTATACTTTAGAACGGCTAATAATCGGGTTTTGATTTGTTACTAAATCTTTGACGGCAATAACATTTTAAATAATTTGATCATCATTAAACATTTCAAAGCCTCTCCATCATTTTTATCACATTTTAACCAATCTGTTATTTATATTGTTGTTAATAATTTATTGTTCAGTCCATAACACAATTTTGCAGCACTTACAGTCTCAGTTTTTTCAAATTCTAATATTATTGGTTCAGCTGATAGTTTATTCCATTAATTCTTCAGGTTTGACACTGTAAGATCAGCCTACGCACTAAAAATATTAAAAATGGCGTCTTTTATGTTACAGCTTTTCCAAAATTCTTTTATCTGAGGCTTTGTCAGATAATAATAAACTTTCGATAAAATATTTTATGTATCGACGCTTCATATTTTTAATTATTCCCTGGTCCATTGGCTGCAAGGGAGATTGTATTTAATGGTAAAAATAAACATGTTTTCTTGCCATCGTCACTTTTTAATTCATTATTGTGGTGTGTTGGAGTATTATCCATAAGTAATAATACCAATGTTTTTGTGGTAAAGCTTTCCAATTAAGTTTGGTTTCATCATAGTTCTATACTTGCTCTTTAACTTGTTTAAAATCCAATTGTATTCTTTATGCTTGCTTTTAAGATTAAAACACTGTCAAGCTTTTTACTGTTGAGAACGATCACGCCGTAAATCTGAGCAATACAGGTAGCAGTTTCACCTTTGCTCAATTGTTTAATAATTTCGAGTTATTAATTAAACACTACACGCTTACGCTATTCAGCCATGTTAAAAACGCAATACTTAGAATATATTAAATAAAATAAACTATTAATAATGATCCACACACCACAGGTAGTAACTGATTATTTTATAAAAAAAGGTAAGAAATTCTTGTGGTTTTGTAATTGAAAAATCCAATATACATGAAATGTTTATCGTGTGTATTGAATTTTCCACTCAATTTTTAAATATTTTATACGTCGCATACACCACAACGAGTTGACTACGCTTAATATGTTCACACATTTTTTTTTTTTTTGATGATGGATAACAGAGACTGATGTATAAACTAGTGATGATTAATCGAATTTACACTGTATTCTTTCAATTTTTTTTAAATGTACAAAATCTTGTTTATTTCAAAGAAAGTGAAAATATTTACAGTAAGACTTGAAAATTTTAAGTTTCAACTGCGGTATATTTATAATAATATTCCAAATTAAAATATAATTACAAAAATTAAATTAAGAAAGTAACTTTAATTTTATTTGTAAAATATATAATGTAAAAACATATTTTACATTGAGTTTATTAAAAATTTAGTTAAATGAGTTTTTACTGGTAAAAATTGTATAATATATTGTTATGTTAGTTATATTAATATTTTTAAATATGTGCTATTATGAAATAAAAAAATAATTAATTTTATGAAAATTTCTTAATTATTTGATATTATATCTTATAGTTATTAGTATATTTTAATATTTAAACGAGACTTAATATGTCAAAAATTACAGAGGGGAACTATAGCTCTTATATTTTTTTGAACGTTTTAACTATCAAAACATTTACATACATTTTAAATGATTCTTAAAGGGGTTATTTGTGTTGTAACACATTTTAATACGTGTAATAACTAATATTTATACTTATAAAGCTGTATCACTAAAACAGTGTTCCCCGTAGATAAGTTACAACTTTATATTAAATATATGTAGTTACACATTTAAATTTTAGTCTTAAAAGAATTCTTATACATCTTATCTTCAGTTGAATACTTTTTGTGATACATATATTTTAACCATAAGCCTTCCCCTAGGCGTTTCTACACTTATCGACCAGCCAGTATAATATCTGCCATTTTCCGAAAGGAATTAGCGCGGTAATCAAAATGTATGAAACTAACCTAACTTAAATTGTGCTCGCCTCTACCCTAGATCACCATGTGGATGGCTGAAAGAACGTAAGCCATTTGGAAATAATTTATTGCACAATGCTATTTGCAACATTATTATCGGTTTCATTGATTATTACGTTGTAAATGTGTTAGTATAAAATAATACATTGAAGGTCGGAGAGCATACCATATAAATATACAAAGAGGGTTTACATAAAATCTCAAAAGTATTTTAAATTCGATTTTAACCTCTGGTAGATTTAATATAAAGTTGTATTGAAGAAATAGTCACAGGTCAATTAATATAGCAATAAATGTCGCGTAGTTTTAAGCATGTACAAAAGCATATACTGAGTGTTCAGTAAGTAAGGAAACAGGTCAATCGATATAAAGAATGAAACTCGTTTCCTTATTTACTGAAAACTCTATATGTTTGAACCTGCCAATTGAGTTATAAATCTAGTATACGATCATCTCTAGTTGGTAATATTGTATAGGTGCAATACCCACTTTTACAATTATTATCAGCTATTATTGCTGTTGCAGTACATTTTAACGTTTTTGTGATTTTAAATGTGTGTGAGTGTTCTCTCTAACCTGCAAGCTCTTGTGCCTCTTTTTATAACGTGCTCTAGGCACTATTATACGCCGTGTTTAATTAATTTGTATGCTCATACAATATGAATACCCTATTATTCACGATTATGCTCTTAACACTACTTTCTCGTGCGGAGGTCCAATCAAGGATAGAATGTTCCTCAACAAGGAAAACCCAGTCAGTATGCTGCTTACATGACTAATGAAGAAGGTAGATTAGCCATAACCTCGTTCAGCACCAAAACACCAGAGAGAATATTTTTTGTATCCCTTAGCTCATAAAGCCACAATGTCATTAAATATATAATTTATCATTAAAAGGTTATGTAATTTATTTTAGGTTAAGTAATACTATTGGTTCACATGATCCTGCTGTATAAAATATTCACACCAACCTTTAGTTTAAGGATGACCTGGCGTAACACTATATGTGTATATATTATTTAAAGTGACATCAACTACATATGTTAATACAACCGATTATTTTTCTTACCAGGGTAATAATAGTTAAGTGAAACGATTTATAAGCTTCGATGCGATTCTGAGAAGGTATTATTTTACGTATTATTTTATTAATTTTATAATTTTTTTGTGTTTTTGAACTGTGATGCGATGCTGAGAAGGTATTAATTTTACTATGGGTGTTTTTTTTTATCATTTTTTTTTTTGTGTCTGTTATTATTTTTTCTCAGTCTCACGGAACCGATTTCTTTCGACAATACGTTGAAAGATCAAAAATCATATCTAGTCGAAGACATTAACCTCAAAACTTGAAAAAATTTTCCTAGCTCGCCGTAAATGGGGGAAATCTACAAAAAAAATATCAAATTTAAAAATTACAAATTTTCGACATTTTAGCTTCGGTACGAAACTGAGAAGGTTTTAATTTTACCTTGATGTGTTTTTTTTTGTATTTAGTTGAAGATATTACCCTCAAAAATTAAAAAAATCCCTTAATCAAATAAAAAGTACCTTAAACAGCTTTATCCATACAAACAATTATAATGATTCATTTCTAATGTTTTTAAAGTATTTATTGTCGAATTAGATTTGATATGATAAAAGTATACAACAGCAAAAGTAAATAATTTTACTTTGTAATTTATCAATATTTTAACTCTATTTGTGTATGTTACTAACAGTCTATAATATTCAAAGTTTTTTGGTAACATGTTGCTATATAAATCATAAATCTAAAAAAAAAATGATTTTTAGTTTCACTTGAATTTAAAAATCGATTTTTATAATTATAATCAAAATTTATAAATCACTCAATTGAGTATATTTTTTAACAATTTTTTTTTTTCATTGGTTTTTTTAATTAAAGTAAATCATTACAATAACTAAGTTCTGAATATTTCAATTGTTGTATTTTTTATTAAACACCAAAAGTTATTTAGAAATTATTACTATGATTTCTATTTAAGTGATATACAGGGTGATTGACTAACTATGCCTCACGAATTATCTCTGAAAATATAAGAGTTATAAACAATTTTTTTTTAATCATTATGGATCTTTGATGAGCTGTTTCACGAGAAAATTTAAATTTTTACCACCATCCCTTTTGCTTAAAAATAGTGTCAACTTCATATTTTCAAATGGCTACACTATTTTTTTTTTATACCATTAGATTTAGTTTAATAAAAAAAAAATGTTTTGTAAAAAAAATATTTTATTTTATTAAATATTAAGCGCTCCATGGCTCTCTAAAGTTTAGGGTTTATTAAGAAAAAATCATTACAGACG